CCGGTCGGGCGCGCATCCGGGCGAAGCATGCCCGGGCCTTCTCCTCTCGCCCGGCCGGGCGCGCCTCAGGGCGAGGGCACTACCCGGTCGGGCGGATGCTTGGGCTTACTCTTCTTCGTCCTTTGGGCCTTGTTACCTTAGCCCAATTCGTCATCCTTCTTGGATCGAATTGCCCAAGCTCCAAATCTCCTCATTAAGCCCTTAATCACCGGATTGATTTCTTCAATTACGGTCCTGGGCTTCGGAATACGATCATAGAAATGCGTCTCGTCTCCAATGCTCGCGGTGGCTCCACTAAGTGCCGGAAAATGTTCCAAATCTGCAGTTTCCTGTAGAATAATACCACAGCTACGAAAACACTAGAAAACACATATTAGTAATAAAATTGGCTCTAAAGAGCCAAAAATAATCCTAACTATGATCACGGGACGGGGATAAAATACTATATAAAATGAATACATCAGAATTATAGGAGACTTATCACTGAGCGTCCGAGCCTGAAATCAGCTTTTCACATCTTCTGTCTTGCATAGTCAGCACAAGCATGATTATACTACTCAATTAATGCAACTTAAAACTAAATTAAGATTGTGAGATAGAACAAGATAGACAAATAGCCAAATTCATGATTCTTCTTATTATCAGCAACATCAATCTTGGTTTTTTTATCAGCAACCTTTTTCCACATCAAAACCAAAAATCCCACCTTACTCACTCATTCACACTTGGCGGGGCAGAGCACAAGTAGTAGGAGCTCTAGCAGATCAGATAGTGAAGCAACAAAGGCGGCACAGTCAGTAGCAGGAGGGAAGCAGCATGACAGCATATTCAAGTCATTCAATAAATCCAAAACACAGCACAGAAAATCAAATCCAAAACTAATATAAGAACTAAAGCAGAGGAAACAAAGAGCAACTCAAAAAATTCACCCTAAATAGACAGGACCTTATTAACATACCAAGAACAAAGAGCAATCAATCCACAAAGTTTTACTAAGGTATGGCACACTTAGTAGCTGTTTCACACTAGTACACACTCATATATACTACCCATCAACTAGACAACAACCAAGTTATTAATCTTTCAATTCAGCCACAACAACAAATTTTAGCGCATTCAAAGCAGAAACAAATTAAATCAATAACACTTGAGCAGGCAAAGCAGATCAATCGAAACCAATAACAAACTAAACAAGAAGACTAATTGAACTAAACAAACTAAACCAACAACAAACACAACCTCACAACCATTCAAACAATCAACACAAAGAATTCACAAAATGAATTACAATCTAAGGCCACAGAGTAATATCCCATAATTTCGCAAACTTTCTTAAATTAGATTCAATATATCTAGTTCTAATTTCACCTCCAACACAAACTTAAGACCATATAATATCACAAAAATAAAACACGAATATTCAGTAGGAATTCATTAGAGATTAAGCTAGAGAGAGAGAGAGAAAATACCCTAAGCAACGGTACACTCTTCACTGGTAGCACTCGCCAGGTTAGCTTGGCATTCAATGACTATTCAAACACAACAACAAAAACCGCAAATTTCATCAAAATAAAGCAAATAATTCATGAATCCATCGGGGGTTTTATTTTCATCCAAAAACTCCTCAAACTGTGTTACCTCAACGGACAAACCGGAGCAAACCACAGTGAGAAGTTGTACGATGAAAGTGAGTCCCTTCATCATATGGATTATCCTAGTGTAACTATTTACGGCCAAGGGACTCAACACATTGGTTTGTTATATAGGGTTCAGTTAAAAAGGGACATAGTCAAGGAGTATATTTCAAGCAACATTAATCAAAGGACATAATCAAGGAACATATTCCAAGCAACATTAAACAATGGACATAATTAAGGGACATATTCCAAATAATATTAATCAAGGGACATTAAAAATGGATATAATCCAAGAAACTCAAGCCACACACCAACATCAATAGCAACAACAACATATTACAATCATACATCCCCTGGCCTCTTCCCAAGATGACTTCACCACCTCTTTGTTCCCTTCATCGAGGAGCCAACAAGTTTCAAACCCAGCGTCCGAGGCAGCAACAACAACAACACTTTAGGCAGCAACAACAACAGCACATTCGGCAGCAACAAAGCAAAGAGCAAGCAAGCAGCAACAATACATTGTACAGAGCAATCAAGGGACATTAAAAAGGGACATAATCCAAGAAACTCATGCCACACACCAACATCAATAACAACAACAACATATCACAATCATACATCCCCTAGCCAGCAACAGATCACAGTTGCTGGCAACCATTTATCAACAAGCAACACACAATCCTCCATCAATAAACACTTGATAAATTTGAGCTCAGATAATACTTTGTACAGTATATATAATTAGGGTCAGATTATCATGAAAATGCAGAAAAATTATCAAGAGACATCCTTTACCTCATCATCATCAAACTCATCACCATACCTAACCTTCGCATCGCCACACTACCTGGGTTAAATCCCATACCCAGGTTCGCTCCATTGCACATCAGTAATTTGAAAGCTCAGAAACACAGATCTACACAATTTCAAGAAATACTGACAATTAAATGTTGTCAAAATTCAGTAATTTGCGGTGCGTCAGGGAACAAAGTTCGCCAAACAAGCCCTATGAACAACCCAACCAAATGTTTCTCAAGCTTGTTTTTAGGAGAAAGCAGAGGTGAACACGCGGCTTTTGACCTGAATACACAAGAAGAAGATAAAGAAAATGAATTGAATCCAATAACAAGTCAAAAACAAATTACATTAAATCAAAACTTATTGGATTTGAGATCCCTAATCAATTATTTTAATTCAAACACATAAACCCTAGAATCTGACCACTATTGATAATCACAATTCACAATTAAGGATAGAAAAGAGAACATAAAATAGGGAAATCAAGAGACGACGAGTTGAACGACGGTGGCGGACCACAGGAAGATGAAAGGTTTAACAAAAACCCTAATTAATAAACTAACCAACCATAGATTTAGATCCAAAATCTTCTTAACATAACAAAATCGCAAACCCTAGACGATGAACAACAACAACAATAACGAGGAACCACAAATCTCATTGAATTTCGAATATCAACACAACAAATCAACTTGATTCACAAACATTAAAACCCCAAAATCAGAATCAATTCCGAATCAAGATTCAACTCCGCGCAACCCAACGTAAAATCAATTCATGAAAAACAACACATCAAAAGATCTTGAATGAACAGAGAATACAAAGCAGCAGATTAAAGAGGAAGAGATAGTAAAAATGGTGGGATTCGAGCCCTCAAAATCGCAGTCTTCATAGAAGATGAAGAAGAATGAAGGAGGAGAAAGAAGCTAAGGTAGGGCGAAAAAAAAACAAGTACGAAACAGAAAGAAAGAAGAGGGGAAATAGAAAGAAGGAAAAGGAGAGAGAAGGAGAGAGAAGGAGTTTGAGCTGAAGCTCCATTGTTGTAGATGAGAGAGACTGAGAGAGATAGATGATCGAGAAAGGAGGAGATGTCGAGGAAAGAGAAAGAAAGAAGATATATGTAAAAAAGACCGTTTTTTTTTTCCAATAGCATTCGCACCGGTTAGAACCGAACCGGTGCGATTAACTCACTTTTCCGCACCAGTTTGGTTCGAAGTGGTGCGATTAACTCATTTTTTGCACCTGTTTGGTTCAAACCAGTGCGAAAACTCTTTCCCTCAATCCCGCCTGTTTTTTTCGCACCGGTTTTTAAAAACCGGTGCGTATTGTGCGATGCCCATTTAAGTTTTTCTACTAGTGTAAAGCCCGTTGTATGGGTTGTGAAATAGTGAAATCTTACTCACCATGAGTTCAAAGGGGAACATTATATAATAATTCGGAAGCACAATTTTTATTCTTGTCCATCCCTAGATGTTTGTTTTGTGCTTAGCTACAAATGAGAAAGAGGTTGAGCATATGGCTCTTAATGAACCCATATCCATATTTTTGGAAGTGTGTTGTAGCTCACACTTGATGGGATTCACCTACTTAGGTGTGGAAGTGTGGCCGCTTCCTATGAGTATTTCGCGGGCTTATACTCTAGAGCACCTATAAGCATCCAGGCTTGGACGTATGACCAGTATAATGCGTCACCTTTATTCGCGGAATTTCAAAATATTATACATGTTCAATTGTGTGGCTCAAAGTGACGGGTCCCTAACTCCCTATTGAGTTCAAGACGAAGGTCACTTGGTAGGTGAGGGATCATAGCTTGATGTCCACTATGTGTTAATTCAAGTCGCGAGACATTGACACTTATGCAATTGTTTTGTTTTGCCCAGAATCATTTTTCTTCCTTTTTTTTTCATATCTTTAAACCTGTGGGGGATTGTTGGAAGTTCTTGATATAAAACAAGAGTGTTGGAAGAAAACAAGAGAGAGAGACTCACAAATGAAAGGGAAAAAGTCCCACATTGGTTGGGGGGAAAGGTTTTGCCTTGTTTATATATTGTAGTATGTTAGTACTAGTTAGTTGAGTGACTTGGAGGTGGGTGTTATACCACACACACGTGCGCGCGCTGAGCCGGGTCGGGCTCGGGCCTCGGGACTTGGGGTCTCGGGGAATGCGCGGGCGTGGGTCCTTTTTATCTTTTTGGAGAAATTTTATTTGACAGAATATTCCTTAATTTATTCCGGCTTTAACTGTTTTTGACTGTTGGGAATCAGTGATTAATTCCTTGATTAATCTAGCCATTTTTAACTGTTGGGATTTTCTGATTGTTAGGAATTTATTCAGCCATTAATTCCTTGATTATAGCTGACTGTTACACTTTTGATTTTTGCTCTTGACTGACCGAATTAATTTGGACGATTTTTTGACTAGGTTCTTCCCTTATTTTCATACAACAATTCATACCGCTCTCTTCTCTAAAAATACTAAATACTGTTCTTTATTTTTCTGGGCAAGTATTCTGAATTCCTGTGAGTGCACATAAACTCCGGCGCCGTGCTTATCCTGGAGGGCGACCGCTTTTTGTCTGCTGCACCGGGAGGTAGCGGGGAATCGTCTTTTAGGTCAGTGGTTCGTCACGACACGGCTACTGTCAGTTCTGGTTCACGCGTCAAGAAATAAGTAATTTTTGTTTTATTGCTTACAATATAATAGCCTAATAGGTGCTTGTTGAAAAATGAGAACAGTGGGAATTGGTTGTTAATTGGGAAATTTGGGTGGATTTGTTCTTTTTCAGGTATATCTTTCTCTCTTTTACTCTTAATCTCTTTCAATTCAAGCTAAAATTTTTGAATGAAATTCTAGGGTACGAAACATCTGTATTTTAGTTTAATCTCTTTAAATTTAAGTTGCAATATAACATCGTATTGGAATAATATCTTGTGTGAAATTCTAGGGTATAAATTTTTTGTATTTCAATTTAATTCTATTAGTTTTTGGTTAATTTTTGGAGGAAGAAGAAGTCACAAGTCTCTTGGATTTGTTATGTGAAATGATTGTATGCTTCTTGTTCATAGATTGATTAACAAGGTTTTGCTTGCTGTAAAATCTGGTTATGATGCTTTGTATTGAAGAGTTTGGTTTTTGTTAATTGAATTACTGAAAGAAGTATCACTGAACTTTGTTACTTGGATTGGATTTCAGTTGAAAGGCTCTTGTTGTTGGACCCGATTGTCCCGACAAGATGGGAAATCATGTTCCTGTTGCTGTCAAAGAAGGATATACTACTCCTTGAATATGGAGGAAATACACTGAAGCTTGGTGAAAAAGGCTCAGTTTATTGTCCTCCATTCACCTTTTTTTTTTTGTTTGAGGTGGTTGTTTTTGTTTTTCTAATTTTCTGTATTCTTCCTTTGTATTCCATCTATGGTATTGGTCTCACCACCTGGAGTCCCCTTGCTTCTGGTGTTCACACTAGTAAATACAACAAGGGTACCATTCCTCCTTATAGTCGTTATTGTACCTTAACTCAAGCTTCTTTTTTTTATTTTATTTTATTTTATTTTTTTTCAAAATGACTCAAAGCAGATCAAAATATGGAGTTGCTAAACCCGTATTTGTAACAAATTGTTCTTCTAGTGTCTCTTTGTTCTATATTTCCAGAGGTTGTTTAACTGACTACATATATATCCATTCTTCTGATTTCTTCCAGCCTTACTTGCAATTGATCAATCCAGAGAATTTGTGTATGCTTATTATACTCTCTGAATAATTTCCTATATTATAAGCCAGGGGAGTATCTTCTGCATTTCTGTAGCCTATGTTGTAAGAACTGTTGGGGTGTTCCCTCCTACTTGGAGGATGAAGCCCATTTTAGTGGGCTAATAATTTCTTTTTTTTAAGTGAACTTTCCTGTATGGACTGTAAAACATGAGGGGTATTGGTAAGTTAGTAAAATTAAGTAGGTACTCAGGTGGTCATGTGCAAAGATTATCCAGTGACTAAGAAAATCTGTTACTGAATTGTATTCTTCTATATTTAGCTCCTCTTTGTCTCAATTGAGTGATTACTTTATCCATGTTTCAGGTCTCAAGTGGGACAGTAATCCCCATACTATTCTTATTTTGACCAAGCCAAATTCGGATGCTGTTAAACATCTATGCTCTTGAACTAGTCAGGTAACAATGCAAACTTTTAATCTAATGTATCAATGCTACTCTAACTTTTAATCTAACTTTTAAACTTTTAATGAGCCAATATATCAATGCTACTCTAAAGATATTCTTTTTGGATCCAATGCATGTAACTTACTTGAAGCCTTCAATCAAATTGTTTGTTCCATCAGTCTAAAATTGTTTGTTTGTTCCATCAAATTTTAAAGATCGTCGTACTATTTGAAATCGTGATATGATTCTAATAGTTTGAATCTTGCATCTGGATCACTAAATTGGCAGAATATAATTTGTCGCATACTCGTATCCGGTTTCTTTATTCTTGAAGGGTAGAATTACCAGAATATTGAATGTTCTGCTTGGATTTGGATCTTACTTCTCACATTCCCTATATTCTTGTAGGGTAGAGTTAGCAAGACTATAATTATACTAACCTGCTTGAGGTCCTTAAGTTTTTTGTTCTAATCTGAAAATATAGAGAATAACACTGTAAAAGAATCCATGATATTGACTTGTTAGTTTATAATAATGCTTTGTTGCTAGAGAAACTTCTTATGGTATGCATGCATGTCTTCATTGTGTAGGGGTTTTGTAGCAAGTCATTTGCAGATCACCAAGACATATTGAAGTTACTTGAATATCTAGAAACATAAAAATATTGGGGAAAAAAGTGGAAGGAGTGAATCTACACAAATTTATAAATGATGTTTTTGTTTGTACTTAACTATAGTAAATTTGAATGTAATTAGGAAGTTTCTTGGTGCACTCTTTAGAGTTACAACCCTAGTATGGGAAAACAAAATTACTAGCATAACTCACAAACATGTAGTGTGAAAATCTGATACTTGTATCATTGTATGTATGTAAATTGAGAAAGTTGTTGTTGCACAATTTTAAGCTAGTGCTATACATTAATACACAACTATAATTTGAATAATGCAAATGATACATCCACACCTAGCTTATTTTTACTCATTTAATTATTGTGAAACAATTTTGTTAAGAATTACAGATAATTTGTAATTTGGATTCAGCCGTGTAATCATGCAATGAGATGGTTTGACTTCTTAGTTTTAGGATGGGTGTTATTGCTATCGAGCTTAGTGGAATTAGTCAAATGAGTTGTGGGACTTATGGTAGGCTAGTTTAAAGTTCAGAGTTTTATGTACAGGGAAAAATTCCATTGGAATAACAGGCACAAGGAAGAATGGTAGTAGGAAGGGGAGATAAAGAAAGATATAGAAGACATAGGTTGCTATTTGAGCCTTTGATAGCCTAAGAATGGTAGTAGGTTTGAGCTGAAGCTGAAACCTCCTATGCTCATTGTTGTTGACTTGTTCTAATCATGAACCTTTCGTATTACCAAGATCCAAAGCTAGAGTTGTATTTTAACGGTACTGGCATCTTTGAAATGCATAGACATAAACATAATTATGTATATGGAGGATTTCAGTTTATGTACTACCTCCGTTTCTATCATGTGCAACAAAAGGGTATTATTTGTGAGACATTAAATATATCTTTGTTGCACTTAATAAGAAACGGAGGTAGTATGTTTTATCTGAGAAAGGCTGGTACCAGATAAAGTGGGGTGTGGAGATTAGTTCTTAGCCAATACGTCAACTATAACCACTACACATGGTGCTTACAAATTTTCAATAAATATTCTAGTTTTAATTTCGATATCTGCGGTTTTGAATGAAGTTAGAATCTCTAAAGATTGCTTCAAGTATATTGGTCTGATGTGGCGTTGATGATTCTGTACTCTATTGGACATTTTGTGAGATAAGGCTTTTTGCTTGTTTATGGGTAAGATCTCAGGATAAAACACAAGTCTTACTAATGTCACCTTTACAGGCTTACGTGCTTTCTTTGAACCACAACTCAAATAGCTACATTACCGAACATGTTAACATTTTACCAAGTGACACCAAGAACCATAGAGAACTAGGTAAAACAACCGGAAACACAATTTAGGCTTTCATCTGGTGCAATTTTGAATAGTGAGCTAATATGCTACAACCAGTGCTAGATTTACCTTTTGAAGGTTTGCCTCCTGAGTGGTTATTTATTCATTTTCCGTGATGTATGAATTCCAGCTGCTTCTGTAGCCGTTCTCAAAAATTATTACCCTTAATATGGGTTTACGCCAGTGCTAAAACTATTGCATGTGTTGTTTGATCTGAGGCTGCAAGCAGCCTGCAACTATGATAATGTACTAAGATTTTGTATGCAAATTGATAGTTTATGCTCAATCCTTTTGTGTTGCTATCATTTTATGATCCTGGTGGGTTAGTTACAAATTATGTATCCTTTGATTTAAGTGCTGAACATGGCACTATGGCTGTAAATTTTTATGTTCCAGATTCTGACATGATATATAGATAAACAATGCAGAAGTTTGTAGATGTGTGACTGAGGAACATGCAAGGGACCTGCCCTGTAATGAATGGAATAAAAGAAGATATCAAATCTGTGTGAGTTCTGGATGTTGGTACTTCTATCCATAGGTTGGTCTTATGTAGACTTACTGCTCGACTGCAAACATTGCAGGTATTTTTGGTTGCAACACTGTCATTGAGTTTTAAATCAACTCAGATTTTTTTTATCAAATCAATTTCATTTGTGTAAGAGCTTGTGAACAAGTCCTTGATAAATTTGACACAGCATGAAATTCCATGATGAGCTTCATACTATTTGAGGCAGTAGCTTTCTGGTTCTGGGCTATTGATCTTTTTTGGGCATAACAGGAGAACTGCAGCCAACATTTCAATGAAGAGGAGAAAAATCTGTTACCACTGATGGAGGCAGCTGATTTGACCATTGACAAAGGAAAATTTTTGAACTGAGTTTTAATGTGATGCTAGGGACTCATTCTCACCTATTCCTCTTTTTTATCGACGGGTTACTTCCTCATGAAGCGATGGATTACTTGGATTTGTGATGAGCTGCACTGACATGGAAACAACAGCCTCCATGGTGCTTTGCTACATGCACTTGGCCGAGTATGTTGACCTTTTCTAACATTTCAAACAATGTCATTAAGTCATTAACTACTCATTTCATTAGAAAATCTCTTTAGAATGGATGAACTCCTTACTCCAAATGCTTCCAAATGATTTAGGTATTTTCATTTTGAACTTTGTTTTGATAATCATGTGTCCATCATAGCAATCTCATAGAAACTAAGGAGTTCATCGGCATGTACCTTCTTAGCTACTAAAAATTAGGGCCTTGATAATGGAAATCAAAACTACCTATTCATGAACAAGCCTGTATGCAGAGTTACTTGCAGCGTTGGTAATTGAAGCAAAATAAACAAGACATGAATTGTAGCACAGTGGTTCTCTTTCCATATCAACTGACCTATTTCTGTTATTGAGCCTCACTATCCCCCTCCCACCCCACTGACCTATTTCTGTTAATGAGCCTGACTATCCCCTTCCCACCCCACCCACCCTCAAAATTAACCCTTTAGTTTATTGCTTTGTTAAGGACTTGGTGTATGAAAGCATGATAAATATTGTATCCAGTAAGTTATGCTAGGAAGCCTAGATGATTTTGATTGTTGGTTTCCCATCTGTCAAAAAAAAAATAAAAAAAAGTGATGCTTCTGTTTATTAGTCTGGCGTCGAATGTACCCTTCTGTTGGTTTCACCTATAATGTCCATTAATGAACTTGATTGTAGATTAAATTTGTGGGACTTCATAGGCATTGGTGATCTTTCAGGTTTAGCCTGGTGCAGAGAATCTCTCTCTCCTATGGTGGGGTGATACACTCTTCTGATTGGTTATTTTTGTACGTGACTGGCATCCTAATGTCTGTTTATGCTTATTTGCAGTGCATATTCTATCTTCAACAAGAACTTTAGGGAACTTCCAGGAACTCTTAATGCAGACTGCTTCGATAAGAGACCTCAGAACAGGTTAGCTTTAAGCGATGGTACAAATTCAGCAGCAGTGACTAAAGTCTTTGCAAACTCTTGAAGACACTTCATGACATTAATGCAATTGCTTAAACTATGATCCAATGATTGTTCAAAGTTCAGTTTTGATAATTTGTACGACTGCTATGGTGGTGGTGTTAGCTTTTAGTTTATGCACAACTACTGCCTTAATTTGCTATTATGCTTGTTGTATACTACGTATATAATAATTTGTTTTATTAACAAAAATTGTAATGAAAATTGATAATTATATATATTTATATCAGCTTCTGCATTAAATTTGCTTAAAAATTTGCAAAACTGGTACTTTAGTTATTTTTTTGGGCATTATTTGCTCCGGTTTGGGCTAAAACCGGAGCAAGAGTCCAGTTTTGAACCAGAGCAATCTACTCACTGTTGCCTCTTAGGAATCTGTTATTTTGTATTTCTCTTTTTACGTCTCTTCTAAGCCCGACCAATCGACTATAAATTTTAGGCAAAATTACACTCATTGACACCAACTTAAGGGTATGTTGCAAATATTGACACAAACTTGTGTCACTTGTTAAATTGACACTAACTTGCCTAAAAAAGAATAAAATTGACATTAAAGACATTAAACATTCAATAACACTCTACACATGACAATATGACATCTATATAGACTTATCTTTCCAATAGTTACGTAAAATTAGTTGTTCAGTGTTATTTATGTCAAATTTGTAATTTTTGTAGCAAGTTGGTGTCAATTTAGCAAGTGATATAAGCTGTTATGAATAATTGCAAAACTTCACAAAGTTAGTATCAATTATTGTAATTTTGCCTATATTTTCTTTTTTGGATAGGTTGTATAGAACATATTTTGAATGGATGGAGAAAGGCCTCTTAGAGCAGTGGCTTAGAGGTCACCTTGCATTTTTGAAATGTGAGGTTTGATTCTCATCAGACACAAATCCCATCCCCCCTACCCCCTCCGAGCATTGCCAGCCAGACTTTTTGTAATAGGAGCTTTCGGTTGGGGTCTTGTTGACCTTACCGTGTAAAAAAATTAAATGGATGAATTAATTTTTTTAGTAACTTGATTGGATGGATTAAATTATGTATACTTGTATGGTTTTAGTAGTACCTTGGTTTTATTTTTTCGTCTCTTTTATCATAGGTACAAGTATTGTACATACAGGACTACACGAAACACAAACTTTTTTCTTAGGATAAATTTTATTATTAGGTAATATTTTTGTTTTAATAATATCCCAAAAGAGGAAATACAGGAATATAGTAGGAATACAAAATAGTGCAAGAGGCCTTTTTTTTACAGGATAAATTTTATTATTAGGTACTATTTTTGTTTTAATAACCAAAAAGAGGAAATACAGGAATATCGTAGAATACAAAATAGTGCAAGAGGCCTCTTTTTTTTTTTTTTTTTTTTTTTTTTTTTTTTTTTTTGAGCTCTAAGGCCATTTTGTAGTAGTGACTAGTGATTAGGGGTGAGCCAACTCCCGTTATATACTCCCGGGATTACCTTAAGGAAGGTGCTCCCGGGGGTATTTTCGTAATCTCTCAATCATCTTCCTCCTCCCCTCACCACCCTTTGACTTTGGCTCCACCTTCCTCCTCCCCTCACCACTCTTTATCCTTCAATTATGGATATTCAAGCCCAAATCAAATACTCTTACCTTCTCCCTATCTCCGACTCATCTCCTCCGTTTACCTCGTAAAATCTGCACACACACAGTTCCACCTCTCAAAAATCCTCAATATTCACATTCCAACATTTCCTCCATTAAAATGCTAATTATGCAAACAATTCTTCACATTTAAATCCACCTTCAACCCAAATCACAATTTCAAGATGAGTAGAACTTCTTCAACTCACCCCTCAATTTAAGTGTTCTCAGCAACTTATACATTAATTTATTTAATTTTTCAGAAATCAAATTAGCCCCAGATCGTAAATTTTCATTTTAATTTCTTAAATATTTGTTTAATTGAATTTTAATAAATGGGATTGCAGCAAATTAAATTTAATGATAATGATGTTGAATCAAATTACAAAGAAAAGGAAGACAATGATGGTTCTTGAAGTTTCGTAGAGCTAATCGCAATACCATTGATGACGACGACGATGATTCAAATAATATTTTGCTCATATAATCAACAAATGAGCAAAAAAATTGCTTATTTGTTAATTAAACGGCTTAAAAATAGTTGTTTAAAGCAAATTTGCAATTCTAACTCAAATTTGCTAATGAATATGAAACCATAAAAGAAAAAAATCAAAGCCAAACTACCTAGATGATGCCTCCATTGTTATCACCTTGACAAAAGTTAGCTTTGTTTAGGATAAAAAAAAAAACCATAAAAATGAAATATATAATGGTGAAAGAAAGAGACAGGAAGAAATTGAGCAAAATATAATGAGCAAAAAACATAAAATAAAATTCACCTACATTCCACCATTGTTGAATACATTAAAAAAGAGAGAGAAAATTTACATATATTCCAACATTGTGAATATTGTAAACAAATCTGAAGCAAGACATAAAAAATGTAGGTGAAAAATTCTGGAAATTGAAGACATGCAGGAAGAGAGTGAAAAAAGAATAGAAAAATTAGGAAATTTTGCAAAATAACACCCAAAAAGACACGATTTTGATAATAACACCGCAATAATTTATTTTTTTTTATTATAACACCATAAAAAAAACCAAAAATTTAATTTCACCACCACTTAACGGATTCTTGGATGGAATCCGTTAGTGGGACCCCTTGAAGACACGTGTCAATTGTCTACTGGTTCAAATGAATAAATTAATAAAAAAGAATTTTTTTTTATAAAAAAGACAAAAAAAACCTAAACCTAACCCTAACCTAGCCCAACCACCACATCCTAACACCCACCGCCTGCGACCCTGATCCACATCCCATCCCCACCACCTGCATCTCCAGCTTATCTCCAGCACCTGAGCCGACCCTGAAACACCCCATCCCTAGTCACCACCGCAAAATCGACGCTAAAACCCATGGAAGCCGAAAACAACGATCGAAAACCACCGAAATCGATCTGGGAAACCGACCAAGAAAACGGACCATGGGAATCCTTCACCCTCAAACGACCGAAATCAACCATGGAAACCCAGAACGGTCGATTTCCATGGCCGATTTGGCCGTTTCAAGGGTGGAGGAAAGAGGGGTTTGCGTCGTGGTCAGGTTGGTTTTGCGGTGGTTTGATGGGCTTGGCGTGGTTTTAGGGGAGGGGGAAGGGGAGAATCAGTGGAGTCGGCGGTTATAGGGTGGAAGTTGCACTGGTTCGTCGGTTTAGTGGAGGCAGGAGGTTCCGGCGGCGGCTGGGGCAGGTGGTGTCGGTGGTGTGGCTGGCTGGGTTAGGGGTAAGTTTTTATTTTATTTTTTTTATTAATTTATTCATTTAAACCAATAGAAACTTGACACGTGTTTTTTAAGCCCCACTAACGGATTCCATCCAAAAATCCGTTATGTGGTGGTAAAATCAAATTTTTGGTTTTTATTGTGGTGTTATAATCAAAATCGTCGCTTTTTTGTGGTGTTATTTTGCAAAATTTCCGAAAAATTATGTAAGAATGAAACCTCTAGATATCACTTGCAAAGCAAACTAATTGTAATATGACAGTTATAACCCTGGGTGTACCGTACCGTACACCCAGGTATATAACATTATTTCTAGGGGTGAGTATAATAGAGTACCCATTTAAAATTCTTGGAACTGGAATCAGAACCTGTTGAGCAGAACTGGAATCTATTTAACAGGTTCCTCAAACTGCGAACCGGAATCAGAACCTGTTGAGCAGGTTATTGGAAATTAGGGATCGGAACCGAAACTTACAGGTTTCGGTTCCGATTCAAGGTACCCTGTCTTATAACTTGATAATTTTTAGCAGATTTTTTAGAAAAAAAAAACTAGATGGGTAACTCGCAAATAAAACAAACTAAAAGTAATTGTTAAGCAAATTTAATAATATATTTGTAATTATAATTTTGATATTTATTAGTTTAAAAAAATAGGTTAGAATTATTGTATAATTTGAATTTAAGTGATATTTTTATTAGGTTACAGGGTATCCTACGCTACAGGTTCCGATTCCAAAAAACTGAGAACCTAAACCAGAACTTGTTGCAACAGGTTTTCCAATTTACTACCTGGAATCGAAACCTCTTGTACAAGTTCTGGTTCCGGAATCTAGGTTCCTAACAAATTCCGATTCTAGTTCAGGGTACTCTGATTAGTTGCTCACCCCAAATAGTGAAATATTGCCAAATATTATTGAATTATTATTATTTAAATATATTTTCATTATATTAACCTTTTATAATTTTTAATAATATATAACTACAAATGTTAAGGGTCAAAGTTGTACGTTAACAAGTATGCCGAACTGTCGATTAAAGTGCGATAATTAAGAAGAGGAGAGGGTATGTAATAATTGATTTTCCTAAATAAAAATTCCGATTCTCTGATAATACTTGATAAAGAAAAGATATTAGTCATTTTTTTTTTATTTTTTTTATTTTTTTTTTATTTTAAGGAAAGATATTAGTCACTTAAAAATGAACAAGTCTTTTGGGCACCTCGTCCCATTTTTTTTTTTGGTAAACGGCACCTCGTCCCATTTAATACATTATATAATCCTATAATTCCTATTCCAATCTACATTTCAGTCAACCTTTTTCAATCGATTACTGATTTCCAAAATTCCAGCTTCTTTAAAATTGCAAACCCTTTTTCCCTCCTTTTATCTCACCATTAAAACTCTTCCAAAGCTTTAATCTTTCGAGTGGATATAAGAAGGAAACTCCCTCAAATGGATATAACAAAGAAACTCCCTGAAGAGTTGTTGCAAGAAATCCTTGCAAGATTTCCATTAAAATCAATTTTAGAGTTCAGGTCAGTTTCTAAATCTTGGCGTAATCTCATTGATCACCCACGTTTTTTTTCTCTTCAATTAAACGTTTCTGAAGTTAATAGGAGCAAAAAGCTTTTGATTTCCTTGGAATATAGTAAGAATTACTTTGCGTATTTGCGTCATTCTTCCACCCTTCGAATTTCTGATGAATTATTAAAGGATTGTAATCTTAGGATTTATGGGTATGTCAATGGATTAATACTTGCTTTTTTGGCCCTGGAAAAAACAGTTTAGATTATACAATCCTTCAATAAGGAAGTGTTTGTTGATTCCTCAGTGTTCTTTACATCAAAATTCTGTAGTGTCTCTCGGTTTTGATGCATCAGTTAAAGATTTCAAAATTC